ACTAAAATTCAGCCTATTTGTAATGTAAGTAATAGAAGAGGCATGGGCTCAAAGCTGAAAAGGGTTACAAAGTCAAATGACAATTTTTGAGATTGTTTTATGAAATGGCAAATAAAGGGGCACCTGGGTGGCTCAGTCGGTTAAGCATCCGACTTCGGCTCAGGTCATGATTTCACGGCTCGTGGGTTCGAGCCCCGCGTTGGGCTCCGTGCTAACAGCTAGCTCAGAGCCTGGAGCCTGTTTCAGATTGTGTCTCCCTCTCTCTCTGACCTTCCCCTGCTCATGCTGTCTCTATCTCTCTTTCAAAAATAAATTAAGAAAACATTTTAAAAAAATTTAAAAAAAAGAAAGAAAACATAAAAAAATTTGGAAATGGCAAATAAGAGTCAATAATCACGAAAAAAACCAAGTGAAAGAAACCAAGGTAAAGAATGAATATTTCAAGATAATTTCTTTCTTTCTTTCTTTTTTTACAAATAGTTTATTGTCAAGTTGGTTTCCATATAACACCCAGTGCTCATCCCCACAAGTGCCCCCCTCTGTGCCCATCCCCCTTCCCCCCCACATCCATCAGTCCTCAGTTTTTGTCAGCATTCAAGAGTCTCTCATGGTTTGCCTCTCTCCCTTCCCCCACTATTTCCCCCTTTCTTCTCCCCCATGGTCCTCTGTTAAGTTCCTCCTAATCCTCCTATACGTGCAAACATATGATATTTGTCCTTCTCTGCCTGACTTATTTCGCTCAGCATAACACCCTCAAGGTCCATCCATGTTGCTACACATGGCCAGATTTCATTGTTTCTCATTGCCATGTAGTATTCCATGGTATATATATACCACATCTTCTTGATCCTTTTTTCTGTTGATGTACACTTAGGCTCTTTCCATGTTTTGGCTATTGTGGAGAGTGCTGCTATGAACATTGGGGTCCATGTGCCCCTATGCATCAGCACTCCTGTATCCCTTGGGTAAATTCCTAGCAGTGCTATTGCTGGGTCACAGGGGAGTTCTATTATTAGTTTCCTGAGGAACCTCCACACTGTTTTCCAGAGGGGCTGCACCAGTTTACATTCCCACCAATAGTGTAGGAGGGTGCCCATTTCTCCACATCCTCACCAGCATCTCGAGTTCTCTGATTTGCTCATTTTAGCCACTCTTGCTGGCATGAGGTGGTATCTCCGTGTGGTTCTGATTTGTATTTCCCTGATGAGGAGGGATGCTGAGCATCGTTTCATGTGTCTGTTGGCCATCTGGATGTCCTCTTTGGAGAAGTGTCTGTTCATATCTTCTGTCCATTTCTTTACTGGGTTGTTTGTTTTTAGGGTGTGGAGTTTGGTGAGTTCCTTATAGATTTTGGATATTAACCCTTTATCTGATATGTTATTTGCAACTATCTTTTCCCATTCCGTTGGTTGCCTATTAGTTTTGTGGGTTGTTTCCTTTGCTGTACAGAAGCTTTTAATCTTGATGAGGTCCCAATCGTTTATTTTTGCTTCAAGAGTAATTTCAAAAGCAGTTTCTTAGCTTTGGGTCAGTTCCTTAGCAGCTTCTAGAAAGACATGCCTATGCTAATATATGCAGAGGTAACAAATCTCCCTGAATTTTCCACATAGTTGCTTCCTGTTTCTGCTTTCCTCCTGCTATGAAGATTTGATCTCCCAGGTGACATTCATTTACCAATGCCACGAAAGCTAAAAAAAACAAAACAACCAAAACAACAACAACAATAAAACAAAAACAAAAATACTCAAATAAAAGTAAGTAGTGTCAATCTGAAGTGACGTGAACGGCGACAGGAATTTGTGTGTATGTGTGTACTTTTGTGTGTTTCCTTTAAACAACACCAAAGCCTCAGTTCCTTCATTGTTAGGTGTTAGGCTTACTCCTTTTCAAGAGAAAGCCATCTGCCCTGTTGGTGTTCTCCTACAGGCAATGGAACACTGTAAAGTTCTATTATCTTCAAAGCACTTCTTTGGTAATTCCCAAGACCTCATCTCTCAAGCCAGCAGTGTTGCTGAGCAACTGTATGTATTCTTCAGAATCCGAATTACTGTCCACAAGAAATGTGGCTCCCCCTGTCCCTTTTAAGTCCTTCTCTGTGTACTTTGAGACAGCATTTGAAACATGGCCCATATAAAATGTCACATGTCTCAGAAAAAGCTTTTACTTACCCAAAGGCAGTTGTGGTTAAAGAAAAAAATAAGCAAGTCTTGGTCTCCTTAAACATCTTTGTGCCATTTTCCATCTAGATGTTAGGTGCTGTCCTTTACTGCCCATCAGAAGTGTAGTGACCTTTTTCTCCTACCATCATGTTAAAGACTGCTTTTATATTAACCATTTACACTTCAGTATGAATTTTATGTATATATAGATGTATATATATAGATGTATGTATGTATGTATACACACACACATTTTCTTTGAGAGCATGTGCAAGGGGGGTAGGGGGGCAAAGGGAGAAAGATAGAATCCACATTTCTGCACTGACAGTGCAGAGCCTAATGTGGGGATCAATTCCACAACCCTGGGATCATGACCTGAGCAGAAATCAAGAGTCAGATGCTTAAATGAATGAGTTACCCAGGTGCCCATAGTATGAATGACTTTTATTGTTGTAATTTTTCCTGGATAATTTGCATTTAAACCTTGTGTCTAATTGTATGAAAAAACATTTTGTCCCTCATTAAATTAAGTTTAGTTACCTTATAAAACTTGGTAACTATGAATTCTCATATTCCACGATCTTTTCTCTTGATCCAGTATCATTCTCATTTGCAAGAACCTAATATTTCAGTGATCAAAACTCACTTACCCTGTGCTTCTTCCCAGCCTCAGGTCTATCTAAACCTCCAGGTGCTTAGAGAAGCACCATATCCACATGGCCTGAAGTTCTACTTCCTTAAACCCTTCATTTTATAAATTACTCAACTGGAATTTGGAAACGGGTCAGGAAGAATTGAGAATGAGAACAGTAAAGTGAACAGGAAGAAGATAAGGATACTGATGTCCTGAAACTTGAAAAGTGAAAGATACCTGTATATTCCTCTTCCTTTCCTTCCCACTACTTCCACAGAGCCAGAGACATCTGGAGCAGGAGGCAGTAAAACTCAAAGCAGGGAAAGAGAAAAAAAAAAAAAAAACGCTAGTGACAAAGTCCTTACCTCCTCCACATTGTGGCTTCCAGGCAGTAGCACGCCAGAACTGAGAGGGGTTATATAGCTATAAATGAAGTTTGAAAGTGGTCAGCATTTTTAATAATCAGAAAAAAATAGAAAAGTGGTAAGTCCAAGACATCAAATTGGGTAAAAAAGTAGAACCACTTTTAACTGAGTGGTTTAAAGGGACAACAGAAGAAACAGAAATGGTGTCTTTAGCATCCACCCGAAAAAGAGGTGCACATGCTATGCTTCGAAAAGTTATATTTTGTTTGTTTTCATTTAGGAGGAGGAATATTTGAGGCAGAATTGTCTGGGAAGCAAGATGACAATGGCATTAATAACTATATTCTTAATTTGTCACTGGTCTTGAAGAAAGCAAGTGCAATCCAGAGACTAGTGTATATATATATACATATCTCAAGTATCCTGAAAAACAAGGAGTCAAAAAGTGCTCAGTAGAATAATTAGTGATGCCAGCCATTTATGTTAAAGCTTGATGAAAGAGCAAAGTACAAAAACAAAACAAAACAAAACAAACAAAACAAAACAAAAACAATATCAGTAGTCTTTACTGTAAAACTCCTATCCCCACTGAAGGGTGGAGACAGCTTTGGGCTGATGGGGAAAAGTTCCTGGGAAGCCGCTGTAGATGAAGATGAGAGAGAAAGAGTTCTGAGGAGTCAGAATGAGTACTTTTCCTCTTTAAGGAATTATAGAAGAGGAGAGTATCAGTAGAATTATTTGTGAAATGACCACAATAAGGCAGCTGTCAGAAGAATGGGGTGATACCTAGATTCTTTATTCAAACCAGTAGATTCTTAGGTAGGCTTTACCTCATAAAGTAAAATTACCAGAGTTCTGCCACTTGCTTTGATAATTTTATTATTTTAAAAAAATTTTTAATATTTATTTTTGAGAGGGAGACAGAATGCAAGCAGGGGAAGGGCAGAGAGAGAGAGAGAGAGACTCAGAATCTGAATCAGGCTCCAGGCTCTGAGCTGTCAGCACAGAGCCAATGTGGGGCTCGAACCCACGAACCATGAGATCATGACCTGAGCCAAAGTCAGACACTTAACAAACTGAGCCACCCAGGAGCCCCTGGTTTTGATAATTTTAAAGCATGTCAGCAAATTCTTTGATATTATTCTCATTAAAAGTTGTAAAGTCTAAGTCCCCTCCCCTTGGAAATCCACTGACTTTGGTGACTGTTAACAGACTCAACAGCGTCCCTGCATGAATTTTGTCATAGGTCTAGGTCATAAAAAGAGATAAAACAACACTTGGCTCTCTCTTGGAATGTGGCCCTGGAGCTCTGACCCTCCATGGATGACCTCCAACTACCCTGAAGACACCGTGCTGCAGAGAAACAAAGGGAGAACAGAGAGACAGAGATGGTATGAGGAGCCTCAGCTGTTGGCATCTTCCCAGCGTAGGCACAATAGAGGAACGAGCAAAGCTGCCAGGTGATTCTGGCCCATCAATATTTGACTGCAACCATGAGAGATGCCCTGGGTGGAAACCACTGAGCCCAGTCAACCCTAGAACCAGGCAACATAATAAAATGTGAATATTTTTAACCCACAAATTGTTGTTCTGACATGGTTTGTTACACAGCAATAAATAATCGCAACACTAGTATTCAGCAGTACTTTATAAACAAGGCTGAACAGTCACCTGGGATATAGGAAAATATAGAAATTTAATGTATATGCCTTTGTTATTGAATCATCTTCATACTTAGTTTGGAGTATGATTTATACTTTACTCAAAATTAATTTATCAGTACATGCATATGATTCATAAAGATACAAACATATACTTGTGGGTGATTCTCAAAATAATTACCTGATAAGCACATGCCAAAAAAGTATTTGAAGATCACTGCAACACCATATCTTCAGCTAGGAACCTGAAAATTGGGTTCTGGTCTCCATTCGGTCCTGTTAATTTTGTAAGCTTGAGCATACCTTGGTACTGGTTTCCTGATCTGCAAGTGAGGATTTATGATAATTATATCATATTTGTAAAGGCAAATTTCAAAGCTGAAAAGTAATAAAAAATGAAATGTCTTACTAAATCATATTTTCCCAAATGTTACTGTTTTAGGAAAAAAAGCTTTGTGATGTATCAGGAACCAGGACAGACTTCCTAATCCTAAGCTATTTTTTTTTTTAAGATAAAACTCAAATTAATTTTATTCTGGAAAGCTAATTACAATACAAGGTTTTTGAGACACTTTTTTCCAATATTATCATCAGTGCTCAGCTCAAAATGTTGTCATAAATGTTTGATTTAGGTTTGAAGTTTGATTTTGTTTATTTGTTTGTTTTTAAATAGCCTTAAAAAAAAACAGATTTAGATTTACAGAAAAATGAAGAAGATACTGTACAGAGTTCCCGGACCCAGCTTCTCCTTTTATTATTACCTTACTTTAGTATAGTACATTTGTTATAATTAATGGATCAATACCTAATAACCCTTTTTAGTTCCAGGAGTCTATCCAGAATGCCACATTACATTTAGCTGTGATGTTTCTTTAGGCTCCTGTTGCCTGTGACAGTTTCTTAGACTTTGTTTTTGCTTGATAATCAAGACAGCTTTAAGTAGTACTGGTCAGGAGTTTTGCAGTATCTCCCCTGGCAGGAATTTGTCTGATATGTTTCTTATGATTATACCGTGTTTATGGATTTTGGGAGAAAGAATATCATGGCATTAAAGTGCCATTTTCCTCACAGCATATCAAGGGTACATAATATCACCATAATGTATGACTATTGCTGTTGATATTAACCACCTGAGTTAGTGTTTAATAGGCTTCTCCATTATAAAGTTACTCTTCCCACCTGTTTCCATATTCTCTTGTTTGGAAAGAAGTCACTATGTACAGCCCATGCTTAAGAAGTGAGGAGTTGTGCTTCTCCCTGAGGGCATAGTATCTATATCAATTATTTGGAGTCCTTATACATAAATTTGTTCCCTCTCCTACCGTTATCTATTTATTCAATCATCTGTTACAAAGATATCATTAAGACAGGACTCATGAATATTTATTTTATACTTTGGATTATAATCCAATACTACTTTATTTTATTGCTTAAATTGCTTCAGTTTTGGCCATGAAGAGCTCTTTTAGTTGGCTTCTGTTTCCCTTTGACACACTCCCATCTATATGGATTTTGTTTATTTGTGAGCAAATATTTCCTTATTTTCTGGCACTACAGAGTAGTCCAGACTCATCTTGTGTAATTCCTACTCCAGTTCTAGAATCAATAATTTCTCTGGGAAGCCTTAGTTACCATACTTTGTGCCATCATGAAGATATGCAATATATGCTTCTTTTGCACCCAGAAAATATTATTTAACCTACAATAAAACCAAAATGTCATTTAACCTACCATAAAACCAAATGCATTGAGATTTTTATGATTTATCATAATTATGTAAAGGATCTGATAATAAAGGCACTGGAAACATGAAGAGACTCTAAGTGTACAAATAAACTGGTGAGATTAAGAATTTACTTATAAAGACTCAACAGTATTTTACCAATGATGATCATAAAAAAAGATAAAGGTCAGAAAAATCCACACTTCAATCCTCATTCACTGATTCTAGTTGAAACACCAAACACAGTAATGAAGAAGTATACACAAAAGCTGAGGGGGTAAAGTTTTCTTGTGTATAGTAGGATGCTACACTGTTAACTAGTGAGATTCTACCAATTCGTAGCAAATATCTAGAGGCAGAGGAGGACAGACAAGCAATATTAGGACCACTCCAAGTTTATCAGCATTATCTGTACCCACTTCGACTATCAGAAAAGAAAGAAGCCATCTTCTAAAAACAACACTAGAAATTTAGGTCTGGAAAAGACATTAGCAGTGATATTATTAATATTACTGTATTACATTGTTAGCGCTGCCATAACAAAACGCCACAGACAAGGCTACTAAAATAACAGAAATTTAATTTCTTACTGTTCTGGAGGCTAAAGAGCCAAGATCAACGTGTTGGCAGGTTTGTTCTCTTCTGAGACCTCTCTCCTTAGCTTACAGATGGCCACCTTCTTGCTGTGTCCTTCATATGGTCTTTTTTTCAGTACTCACGCATCCCTGGTGTCTCTGTGTGTCCAAATTTCCTCTGCTCATAAGGATACCAGTCGGAATGGATTAGGATGCAGCCTAATGGTCTCATTTTAACTTAATCATCTCTTTAAAGGCCCACATCCAAATATAATCACATCCTGAGGTACTGTGGCTTAGAGTTTCAACCTATGAGTTTTGAGGAAAAGCAATTCAGCCCATAACATAGGACAAACTCATTATTTTGCAGATGAGAAATCTAAGATTCAGTGAAGTAAACAGATTCATCTAGGATTATAAAAAGTTGAAATTTAAAGCCAATTCCTTCTTTTAGGCCACAGCCTTTATCTACTGTGCTGTGTCTAGAAGAAACTATTTTAGGACTAAAATGACAGTGGAGGACATGGAAAATAGTAATGGTGTATTAAGTTTTATAAAATATGATCGAGGCCAAGAGAAGATAATTCATGGAAAATTCAAGGCATAGTCTAGTCTCGTTTCTTTTTGTTTAATTAAGAGGTTTAATTATGAAGTAACTTCAAAGTAAATAATATAATATCCTTTATACAAAGTTTATTTTAAATAAAAGTTAAGGACACAGTAAAATCCCAACCCTCCTCCATTCATCATCTACTATCCTGAACTTGGTGTATATCATTCTCATGAATATTTTTGTAATTGTATTACATATGTATATATACATTAAAAATATATACTATTGTTTCTGTTTTAAATTTTACATAAGTAGTATTACAATATATCTTATTTTTTACTCATATTTGTGACAAACATATATACTGAGATAGGTTGATATGTTCATTTATTTTAATCAAGAAATTGCCTCAAGTACATTGCATAAATAGAACACATTTAAAGTTTAGTTATATCTCTATTAGGTAACAAGTTTTTCCACTTTATTATAAACAGTCTAGACTTGAATTTTTTTTTCTTCTGAATGTTTAGGGAAATGTTTCTAGGTTGTAGACACAAGCATAAAATTACTGGTTGGAGGCTATGCACATCTTCAACTTTTTTAGAACTAATAAATTGTTCTCCCTAGTATATTAGTATGTACACCCACCAGCAACCCCTCAGAGCTCCAAGCAACTGATATTTTACCAAGATTTGTGTTACCCGACCAATTAATTTTGTTCATCTGATAGGTATGAAATTATATTTCACTTTGATTTAATTTGTACTTCCCTACTTCCTAGTTAGCTTAAACAGCTTGTCAGCTTATTGTTTATTGGCTACTAATTGCCCATTTGTATCTTTTGCCTACTTGTTCTGAATTGTTCATACTTTTTTTTTTAATTAAGGTTTAGAAGTTCTTTATAGAGTTTGGATATTAATTCTTTGTTGGTTATATAGTTGCAAACATTATCACCCCTTCTGTCCCTTTTAGTGAGCCCATTAATAAATGTTTTTCAAAATGTGTTTTTGTACAAACTAACATTAAAGTGTACAAATCTTAAGTGTATAGATCAATGAATTTTTACGTATTTGTGTACCTGTGTACTCATCACACTAATCAAGGCATAGAACAATTCCAGCACCCCAGCGGGCTTCCATGTGTCCCTTCCCTGTCAATACTTTCTGCAAAAGTTATCGGTATTCTGACATCAACCATGACAGATCAGTTTTGCCTGGTCTTATGTCATAGGGATATAAAGATACAGTGTCAACTCCTGTAACTGGCTTCTTTTGTCAGCGTTATTTGTGAGATTCATCCATGTTGAGAGTAGCTTTAGTTCATTCTTTACCACAATTCATTCATTCTCATGCTTGTGGCCATTTAGGATGTTCCTAGTGATGGGAATACTAGAATCACGATTATAAGTGCTGTAAATATTATTGAAGGTGTGGATCTGCTTGGCCATGGGGTAGGCATTTGTTTAAAGTTGGTAGAAACTAACAGAAAGTTTTACAAAGGAGTTATCTCAATTTACAGTCTCATCAGTAGTATATGAATGTTCCAAATTCTCCACACCCAATGTCAACACTTGGTAGTTCAATCCTTTTCATTTTAGTCACTCTAAACTAGTCATTTTAGTCACTTTAGAATAGAAGTACCTCATTGTGGTTTTAATGTTTGCATTTCCTTAATGACAGTGAGCATACCTGAATATATTTACTTGTTACTCCTTTATAGTTTCTCTGTGTTTTCTTGTTAACATATCTTAATGCTATTGGATATCTTACGCTACTCCAATAGAATAAAGATATGTTCTTTTAAAATGTTTAGTTTTGGTGTTTATATTTAGTATATAATCTACTTGGAATATAGTTTTATATTGGTAAGAGGTAAGTTTCTAGCTTTGTCTAGCTTTGAGTAAAGCTTTACATATTTCCAAAGATACAGCTACTTATCCCAGTACCATTTATTGAATACTCCATTCTCAGTTTACTGATTCAGTAATACCTTTTTGTCTTGATTACGATAGCTTTTAGAATATGTGTTATGATTAAAGCAATGTCAGAAATAGACAGAAGAAGAAGAAGAAGAAGAAGAAGAAGAAGAAGAAGCAGCAGCAGCAGCAGCAGAAGCAGAGGCAGAAGAAGAAGAGGAGGAAGGGGAAGGGGGAGGGGAAGGGGAAAATGAAGAGGAGGAGGAAGGAAAAAGAAAAACAAGAAAAGAAAAAAGAAAAAAAAAACCCATCAGAACACATAGAAACACACCGGCATTGATCTAAGAACTAAGATCTGACTTTTGATGATCTTTATTATTCATGTTTCTATTTCATTTAACTTTCTTATCTTCATTATATCCTCCCCTCTAGTTTCTAATTTTATTCTTTAACTTCTTTAGTTGAATGCCTCAATCATTATTCATCACTCTGACTTCTCTTCAGATGAATTTAAGGCTATACATTCTCTTAACTGCTTTGAGTGGCATCTAGTAAGT